TCATTGTTGGCTCCATGTAGCTTACAAGTAGCCCCTCCCTGACTCTCCAACCTTCATTTTCTTCTGCCGTCTGTCTCTCTTAAGTTTCCCTCGCATGTTGATTTCTTCACCGAAACTGTAGGTATCCAATAGTGGACAAACGTCTTAATACTATGGCTACACCAGCCACTGGTTCACTCTTTTCCAAAGCCAATATCTCTGCTTAGCATCAGTTAGTCGCCATAGCCTCCATTTAACTCTGCGGATATCCGGAGCTCTGTGGGAGTCGCTCCCTTCTTACAATATTCATTCACTTGGAATGTTTACTTTACAGCTCAGATGGTTTGCCGACCTATTATGTGCCACCGTAGGATCCACTAGTTACTGAAGGCTTAGCCCAAACTCTATTGCTGGTCACTCTTCCGATCTTGCAAACTATCGTCCAGTGACTCTCCTCCCTGTGCTCGCGAAGGTGATGGAAGCAGTCGTCGCTGAGGCTTTAATGGACTACCTAGGAAAAATGCAACATTTTGGTACCGGAACAGCATGGCTTCCGTCAACACCGGTCATGCACCACCAACCTACTTATTGCACGAGGTAGTTGGACGGAAGTGGCCGATGATGGGGTCGGAGTCGATGTCATCTATCTGGACTCTCCAAAGCTTTCGACCGCCTTGATCACCGCATCCTACTTCAAAGACTACAAAGTTACGGAATCGGAGATCCTGTACTTGGTTGGATTGGCAACTTCCTTTACCAACGAAAGCTTCAAGTACGTGTTAGGGGATCACTTTCTAACCCAATTGAGGTGCAATGTGGTGTCCCACAAGGCTCAGTGCTGGGACCGCGTTTATTCCTGGTGTTTATCAACGACCTGGCAAGGGTGATCTCCTCAAATTTCCTGCTTTTCGCCGATGATGTCAAGATATGGCGGGCGATTGGTAACAAGCCAGATCAGGATCTGCTCCAACATGACCTAGATTGCATTTATGAATGGTCAAATAGGAATAAGCTTCAATTGAACATAGCTAAGTGCAAAGTGATGCATCTGCGTCACCAGCCGGTGAGCGCTTACAAGATTGGAGACCACACCTTGGAGAAGGTTTCTCAGGAGCGTGACCTTGGTGTATTGGTGCAGGAAGATCTCGGGTGTTCAAAACAAGCAGAGAAGGCGACGAAAACCGGAAATCAACACCTCGGCCTTCTTCGCAGAGCCTTCGGTCGGTTTGAACCCTCAATCTTTCCCCAAATGCTTAACGCCTACGTGCGACCTCACGTGGAATATGCTATTCAGGTGTGGCAGCCGTGGCAGAAACAGGATCTCGTTGCTCTCGAGACTCCTCAACGAAGGGCAACCAAGAATGTCAGGGGCCTCTTTCATCTGCCCTATCAGCTTAGATTGAAATCTCTAAGAATCTACAGCAGTCGATATCGGCTTTTGCGGGGGGATCTCATAATGGTTTATCAGATTCTGAAGAACCCAAACCACATTTGTCGTCCGCTGCTGGAATTGAACCACAACACTAAACTAAGAGGTCACCCTCTTAAACTGACAATTCAGTATAGCCGGCTTGAATGCCGTAGAAATTTCTTTTCTCTCCGCGTGTGCCAGCCGTGGAACGCCCTCCCTAATTATGTCGTCTCTGCTCCCAATCTGGAGATATTTAAAAAACGTGTTGACGATGCATTGTCTCACTTACATTTCACTTTGTGACTTGTTAGCCAGGGGCTACGAAACGCAATCAAACGGTGTCTTGCCAAAGGCCTAACCAATGGATTTACGGATTTATATGTTTAATACGCGAACATATCCGCTATTCTACATAAGTCTATGGTGAGTCCACCACAACGCTGTTCACTTTATCATGCAATTGATTTTCACACTTAATTCCATCCTACGGGACTTGTTAAGCAACGCTTTTTACCCGTAATAAACCATTGTTCCGTTGTTCCTAGCGCGCCATTATCCGTCGTTCATGTTACTCGCCTCAACTTTTCTTGACAATAGCTAGACATTGTTGGCTCCATGTAGCCTACAAGGAGCCACTTCTTGACTCTCCAGCCTTCATTCTCTTCTGCCGTATGTCACTCTTAAACCTCGCTTGCCTGTTGACTTCCTCAACAAAGCTGTAGGTATCCAGTAGTAGACAAACGTCTCAATACTATGGCTACAGCAGCCACTGATTCTTTCTTTCCTAGAGACACTATCTCTGCTTACCAGCAGCTAGTCGCCATAGCTTCCACTTAACTCTGCGGATACCGGAGCTCGCTCCCTCTTACAATGTTCATTCTCTTGGATTGTTTGCGTCACAGCTTAGCTGATCTGTTGACCTATCACTTACCTTCACTGGCCCATAGCTACACTCATCGACCCTATAGGCATACACTAGAGACAAAGCGTCCGATTGGAATAGCTGCATCTGGCGACTGAGTCATTCCTAGCGCCATCTGTCGGTCGTCATAAATTCGGCATTTCTCTTCAGCAGTAGCTAATGGCCATTGGCCCCATGCATACGCGATGATCCAGTGCTTGTTAGGAGCCACCCCGTATCTGAATAACCTCTACTCCTCTAGAATATCTGCATCCAGTCCCTCCGCTGCCCTGCCACCAATTGAGCTTTAAGACCCTCTCGCAGCAACCTATTTATTTTCGCTTATTTTGCCCCCCTCTCGGATTACACTAACTACGTGCTGTTCATGCACCTGACAATCACTACCAACATTCTAACTCTCTTTGCTCTATCCCCACGCAACTATCGACTCATATCAAATGGATACTCGCACTTTACTTACTGGTGCAACGCTCTTGTCCCTACGCAGGCGATAGCAATCCACCTATACGGCTAATGATTCTATAGGATACTCAAAAGACATTTTCAGCATAATTATTGTTGCACAGTGTACATACTTTTGTCTCAAGCCCAAATGTTATAACACAAGACACTAACAATATTCAATTCCCTGCCTGTTCTTGCGGTCTTCTCTCAGTTGTCTCCCACTTTCCCTTTTCTCTGAGGTCCGGGACATCTTGGAGATCTGGGATTGGACTGAGGAACAATTTTGCCCAAGACGGACGGAACAACCCACAAGGACTGACATGGAGGATAGTAAAACTCCGCAAGGACCAACCTACAATCACCATAACCCTTGTCCAGTATGGAGAACTGGACATATCCTCATACTCCCATACATTATACATCTGAAAAATCTGAACAGCGGAAAAATTAAAACTTTTGCTCACCTGGACATACAACAAGAAGAAAAATCGAGATGTCCCTCTCCTCCAGCGACCCCAAAAAATCATGGCGACCCAGAGCAAAATACTCGTCCAACTAACAGAGGAAATTAGAAGCCATTACCCCGCGAAAAACCGAATGTGAAACCAGTCGTCAAGCGGCTTTGCCAGTTCAACATTAATGTTCAAAATGCTTTACGGCAGGGTTGCAGGACGTGGTGGGTTTTCGCCTGGCAAGCGTTCTCCCTATAAAAAGCCACATTTGTTTGTTTAACAACACTGCGACGTGGCGGATGTGACTCGCCACTGAATAAAGTCACAGCCCACAACTACATACTGGCAAGTCGACTAGATTCACATATCAACTCCTCTTGACACCGTTTCAACTATACACGATTGAACCCGGAGTATCGTCGTGATACACAACAGTTTTAACCCTTGATCATGCCTAAGTTGGTGCGTCTCTTTGAAACTGAGAATAAACTATCTATTTATTTATTTTACCATGAACATACCACCAATTTTCTACTATTGCTGTCACAGTTGCCATAAAATGTTTGTACAGTTGTACATATCTGATCATGCCTCCATGGGCGTGCCTCGCATAGTCGAGAATAAAGTATTTATTTATTTATTTATTTAGTATTTTAGAAAGGGACCCAGATAGACACAGACTTGTCTCGCGCAACTTATTCCTTGGGCTGCCCTCTTTTGCCTTCCACCATCTGAAGTTACTCGTAATGTCCAGCACTTGGTCACGCGCTACCAGTACTCGCACCGGTAGAGTGGAATAAGACTGCCGTCTGATCACCAACAAACCCACTAACCGAAGACCTTGGTTACTGGCCGTCCCCAGGTTTTGATCTCCTTGATGCCCTTTTAGCTTCATGGTATAACTAGCGGGCGGTCTGGCTGAGAAAGATCATATGTACTGGTTTCAAAGTAATCGTGCACTAGCGTAATATTCGAAAGGTGCATTTGCGTCCACAAATGAGGCCGCAAGGATTTTCTCCGGCCCTGGGTTTTTAACGAGGAGACGCTGTTTAAAGTGGAAAAAGGCGCAACATAAGAAAAGCGTAATACGGACATAAAAGGACGCTAAAAATGGCGAAGCAGGGTGGGTTACTTGCTTAAAAATGAGTAACGACAACATATAGCGAATTTTGCGGAAAGGAAAAGGATACCTTCATACATCACCGTTAGGAGTACTCGGATTTGGAGCTCTAAAAACTTGAACATAAGGCATGTGACCTTGTCCTAAATGGCAGCAATCTGTACGGGGTAAGCAGTCTCCCCATGGTACGCAGCACACTTCTGATACATGGATAAATAACTAAATATTTTGTTCTTGACAAAGCCAGGCATGCTTTTTGGAAATGCTCAGCATATTGCAAAATTGTACTTGACAGTATGATTACAGGAACAGAAGCGGGAGTAGGATAGACATAGACATTAGTGTGGGCTCACGTAGCTTAAAGATTGAATACTGTTTATTCTCACGGAATGTGAGGTGGCGTGATAAGCTTTAGCTCATTACTTTGACGTAGGTTGCTAAGGAAATATTCCAATGAGCTTGTGTACACAGTGAGGGTCAGGTGAGTGAAGCATAGACAAAAAGCTGTAAAAATAATTTAGAAGTAGTGGCTCGTCACTGATCAGATATATAGACGTTGTCGTATGGAAGCAGATAGTTGCACAGAATCTTTTAATGTGGCCTCTGTTAACTTGCCAATGCGTGGTTGGGGCAGTGACTTTATTGAGTGGCTGCTCACATTCGCCAAGTCGCAGTGCTATTACACAGGCGTTTGTGGCGTTATGTAGGGAGAACTTTTGCCAGGCGAAAACGCACCAGGTCCTGGAACACTGCCGACTGAGGGTATGACGTCGACAAGGTTGCAGATTACGGACTTTTCCGTGGTCCTTCGCGGTCCTGTTTCGCTAATTTTTGTCCTGTGGTTGTCTGGTGGTCTTCTTCAGAGTCGACCGCAAGTCATAGGAGATAAGGAATTCGCATGACTCAAGTGGCTTGTACTGATTTGATTAGTTCGCTGGGTTCGTTTAGTATGTTAGGATTGCGAATTGCGTATGAGTTAATTGTTCTGTGTTGATTGCGTTTCCAGGTGAGCGTCCCAGGTATATCCTCGAAGGTGTTCCTTGCAGATATTGCTATCCTTTTGTATAAGAAGTAAAGAAATATGGACCGAGCAAACTACCAATGAAATTGAACAGAACTATACCGACGTATAACTACAAAGCTTTGATAACGTTGCGGCGGTTAAGATCAATGAAATTGTTAAATATTTTATACAAAAGACCGGTTGTTTGCATGCAATCACGCGACCAAAGGTTTGCATACAAATGCATAAATCACCACTTATCCACTCAACCAGTTCAGCAAACTGCGAGGCGTTCTTCTTCTGCTGACACAGGACAAATGTGCTACTGCCAACATCCACTGCACACGTTGTTTCCTTAGTACGCCACCTAGTTATGCGGTGCTGAGCGGAGGTGATGCTTTTCAGTTTTCAGAATTTCATTCCCCTCTCACGCTGCAGGCAGCAGGAAAATGGATTACACGGGTACCAAAGGGGATTTTCTTTTTCTATACCTGGCAACTTTTTCGCTGGGCCGTGACACCGCATAATCAGCCACGACGAACGATAAAACTTGGTTACTTTGGATCACATTTCCATGCCTTGAAGACGAACAGAGGTGCATAAAAACGATACCCGACAAAAGCATCCGACGATTGCGCATTCGCTGCTTGGAATCTGAAGCGGTCCTCACACGATACTTGCTGCAAGTTTCGCTAACTGGATGAACGGGCAAATAATTCCGCATTAGTATGCCACGCCAGCAGTTCCCGGAAGCATGTCATGACACCCATCGTGCAGTGTCATCTTTCGTGCCATCGTCACAACTACACCTGTTCACTTGGGACCAATGGATTGCAGAATAGCTCCCAGGAACGTGAGCTTGGTGTGCTCGTTCAGAGCGACCTCAACTGTTCAAAACAGGCTGAGGTAGCTGCGAAAAGAGGCACCCAGCATGTCGGCGTGCTGCGACGAGCATTCGGGAGATTTGACCCGTCAATCTTCCCAATGATGCACAATTCCTACATGCGCCTGCATGTTGAATACGCTATCCAAGCTTGACAACCGTGGTTAAAACGTAAGCTAGAAGCGATAAAGGTACCACACCGGAAAGCAACAAAAAATTTAAAGGGCCTGCGCTATCATTCATACCACCGAAGGCTGAAGTTGCTGGGAATTTTTAGCGGGCGCTTTCGAATACCGCGCCGTGATCTCATATTGGCGTATCAACTATTGAGTGACCCCAACAACGTATGCCGCCATTTGCTGAAACTTAGCCACAACACGCAGCGCTGGGGTAACTGCTTAAATTCGAAGGAACAATACAGCCGTCTAGAGTGTCGACGGAATTATTTTTCCCATCGGGGTTGCAAACCTTGGAACGCACTCCCAGACTCAGTTGTATCCACTCCTACCCTGGATGTTTTCAAAAAACGACTAGATGTTGTTCTTAGCTCCCAACATTTTGTTACCTAAACTCCTCTACGGGGGATTACGCCAAGGATGCATTTCAACAGGATTTATGTATCAAATAGACCGAAATGAGCGACCATATTTTATTTTTCTCCCTCCTTACCTCAACGATCATTGCACCCCAGTGTCTTTCTGACTGTTTACGAAAGATAACTTATTTTAACTTTACACTGATGTAACTTATCAAACTATTCATCTCGGCAGACGTTTGACAGATGACCCAGACATACTTTGATTTCATCATATTCACCCCAACCATCCTACGGGACGTGTCAAGCACTTGCTTTTATCCCGTGGTAAATCATTGTTCATTGTTCATTGCTCAACAAAGGATCCCCCATGTCACCAAAAATATCGCGTTTTATGCAATCCTTCCTTGCGCTTTCGAGAGCACGAGCACTATGGGGTGGCACCTGGGTGACGAGCGATGTTATCTCCGTGTCTTTCGACGTATCCCCACCTCTGACATACGCCTCTGGCAGCTCCCACTGAAAACCACGAAGAAAAACGCCATATTCGTATGCATGTAGGCTAGCGACGTGCATGAAGTGCACACATAGAATGCGTCACTAAAAATGAGGGCGACATTTGCGAGCGCTGCCATCTGCTATATGCACATGCTGCATGCCTAGGCCGTCGTCAGACACCAGCCAATACCTGCCGCCTGATTCCGCACTGCGAATGCGAACTATTCTGCGGTGCCACTCGTACTTTGACGAGCGTATGAAGACACCTTCCTCAAAATGAACTGTCCGCTGGTGATACGTTGTTCGACGTCGAACATGGGACGCTCATCGTTTACATACACGTCTGCCCCTCCTCCTACATACACATGCACCGTTGCGCTATTACCCGAAACAGATAAAGCAAGGTGAACCGTTAATTTAACTTTTTCTTTTAATCTTTATTTTCATTTTCATCCCGTTTGGTGCTGTCGTACCCAAATGACACCACCGGGCCCATAAAATGCGCCGCCCAGCTCACCCGCCATGGAACCTATGTGCGACGGAGGCATTGGAAGCATTTCCCGCAGCGCACTGAACTACCATCCATAAGTTGCTAAGGAGCACATTCGTGTGCATACAAAAAAGAACGCGGCAGGTTGAATAACGCCCCTTTACCTTCAAGGAGACGGAGGCGGAGGTGAGTTGAATGCCGCTGTATGTCATGCAAAATATGCACGCCACAGAAAACGGGGTTAGTCGTGAGAAACGCATTGCGAAATGCCTACGTCCGCCTCGAGCACTTGTCCATAACCAACTTTGCTGCGAGTTTTGCCCTGGGAGCCAAATCAAGCTCACTGCTAGCCGCAACATGGTGGCGTACCTCCGTCTCATTAGGCAACAGCGGGTAAGGAAAGTCATACCAAGCCCGCTGACGTCTACAGAGGTTCAATACCATAATACGTAACCGCCGTAAATTATAGGATATATGGATTCTGCAAATGCACTTCCCCTTATTGCCCCACCATATCCAGCATGCTAGGAGGGACTAATAATAAAAACTGCGTCTCAGCTCGCAATCGCATTATTTTCGGCTGACCATGGCTTATAAAAAGCTGGGTCACTTACTCCGTCACCGTGACACCAATATTACGAGGACGCCGCCGTATATCATACAAATCCCGCCCCGTTACGCAAATGTCATATTGAACGCACACAAATGTAAGTATCTACTGTGTCCGACGAAAAGTCTTCTGTTCATTTTCTAACAGCCCATTTTTGGGACACAGCCAAGGCCTGTCCACAAGGAAATTAAGCATGTGTCGCAGACAAGCTTATAAAATCTTGTAACATCCTCCTTCCAGATTCAGATTCAGATTCAGAAGGACTGGAACGATAGGAGAATCCCTTGAGTGTTCCTTCTTGAGCAAATCGTTGAGCCAGGAAATGATAAGGTGTTAGTTCTTGATAGATCTAAAACGAAACACCGGAAACACACCCTGGTCAACCAACTACTGCCCACGTTCCCTGCATTAGCAGTCCGCGCTGTGTAGGTTACGTGAAGTAAGAAAGAAGTAGAAAGTAAATGGAAGATAAAGGGGAATGAAAGTCATTAAAATGAAGGATAACACCAAAGAGTGAAGATAATGACAGAATAAGAACTAAAAGTTTGAAGATGGATATGGTCAGGAGAAGGGAAAGGTTTCGTGTTGCCACCCAAGAGCGTCTAACTGACGCTCGAAACCCTTAACCGTAGGTTCACTGACTACATTTTCTGGAAGCGAGTTCCAGCGCTCGATAACTCTACGCGATAACCGAGTTTCCGCCCTGATCCCGTCAGAACGCGGCTTGTGTAGCTTCATGGGATGACCGCGAAGACAAGGCAACCTAGCCGGGCTAAATAGCCAGCGCAAGTCCGGCCCAACCTTCCCTGTTAAAATGCGGTAAGTAAGGATTAGGTCTCCTCGAAGCCGTCGGTAGTGCATTGAATACATACCCAAGCTAAGTAGACGCTCGGGGTACGATTGCCCCCGTAACCCCTCGACCAATTTGGTACCTACTCTCAAAACCCTCTCAAGCTCCATTTTGTCCCGAACAAGGCAGGGCGCGCAAGCCTGGACGCAGTATTCCAGATGGGGCCGAACGAAAGCTGAGAATAGCTTCACAAATATGTCGGCAGTTAAGACCCCGAAAGAACGGCGTATTAACCATAACATTCTGAAACCCCTACTAGCGGCCTTCTTCCAGTTGTCACCAGAATGCAAAGACGAGGAATGAACGACACCTAGATCTATCTGGTTGGAGACAAGGGGGAGTTCGACCCCACCGAGTACGTAGCTCGAAGGCGGGAAAGTTGCTCCTATACGAAGGACGGAACACTTAGCCTGATTTATGGGCAGTAGCCACAAAGTAGACCAGTCCCAGAGTCTGTCCAGTGCACGCTGTATGGCCTCAGAACCCCCAGGAACATTTACAACATTCCATAGCTTAAGGTCATCAGCAAACAATAAGGATGATACCCCAAGCTCTCCAGGGAGACATCGCTTTGGGAACCGAGCCATGCGATTAGACCACCGGTAACGGTTATAAAATTATTATACAGGTAAATAACACTTACTGCTTTCCACGAGCATTCGATCGTTCACTATGCACCCACCGGCATTTAATATACTGGTACGGGCAGCATTCGGGAAGCACTCGCGCAGTCCCCCTTTTGGCGGCTTCCGCTGGTACCACATTCCGAGGAACAACCGATGTCGCGTTTTCAATCTGAAACCGTTTTGCGCCCTTAAGAGTCGCTGTGAAGTGACGGTGTGGGCCCTTAAAGAAACGCCAAAAGAAGCTACAATCATCCATCATTGTGGCTTTCGCCAGAAACAGGAAAATGATTAAACTCCGTAAAGCATTTAAACAGTTTTGCAAATGATTTATAAATAACTTCATAGCATAGTAACAACTTCCTTCACATCATAATAAACATACCCATGCATCAAAACGCCCCATATTTTCCAATATCAACAAACCATCTGCTGTACCGCAATCCCACTGTCAAAACCTCATTGATCGCCCTTTGTGGATACGACTGCCGCCCAATTTCACTGTCCAAATCTCACTGATCGCTCGTTACTCTTTCGCTTCTCCGCTTCGTGATGATTATTTGTCGATCACTTTCGACGCTGAATAGATGCTATTTCTTAAGGCAATCAGTTGTAAAGCAATACCACGACATATCTTTGAGACGTTTTCATTTGGGTTCCTGTTTATTTAGTAGGTTTTATTTTTTTTCATTCTCCTAGAACCTGTGCATGTGAAGATGCCTTCACTGTCTCCTACTATGACTGAGGGATCCATCGTTCAGTGGACCAAAAAAGAAGGTTACTTTTTGCTTTCTTTAACCTCTTTACTAGGTGAGGAGGTGTCTTCTGGTGACGTGTTGTGCGAAGTCCAAACTGACAAGGCCGTTGTCGCTTTAGAATGCGAGGAGGATGGCGTTTTAGCGAAGATTATCGTAAGTTTACTGCTGTGAGTGTGTTACTTAGATGTTAGTGATCAGTTGGTTTACGCAACTTTGTGCACTGCTCATGCATTCACACTTCCGAGTGAACTAATTTATGTCCTGATTTGGAAGCACTTCTTTCACTCAGATTTCGTAATCGGTCACTGTTGGACCGATTTTCTTTCTGTGGCTGTCAATATCCGTGTTATCCGTTCGAACTGTTTACTCGTGGGTATACTTTAGCGTTTGCTATAGGGCACTCGGCCGGTGGCCGAGTGGTCTGCACGTTTGCTCTGCAACCATAAGGTCACCGGTTCGAATCCGCGTAGGGGTGGGCGTCCTCGCGGTATACTCAGCCCGCGCGCGACTGGTGGTGGTCGTGCGGCAGCGAAGCGCCGTTACGGCGTGAGAAAAGAAAGGTGTCAGCTTATACGCCGTAAGGGCGCTTCGCTGCCGCGCGACCACCACCAGTCGCGCGCGGGCTGAGTATACCGCGAGGACGCCCACCCCTAAGCGGAGTCGAACCGGTGACCTTATGGTTGGAAAGCAAACGTGTAGACCACTCGGCCGTTACGGCGTACAGCTGACATTATTATTATTATTATTATTATTATTATTATTATTATTATTTACTACCAGTTCAACTTCGGGTGGGACGAACGATAGGAGACTTCCGTGAGTGTTTCATCTTGAGTGGATCGTTGAGCCAGGAATCGATGGTGCTCCGAGTTCTTGATGGATCTAAAACGTAACACCCGTATCACATCCTGGCCAATCAGTTAATGCCCGTCATTCCTGTTTTAGCAGTCCCTGCAGTGGAAGTCACGTGAAGTAAGCAAAGGATATAGGATCATAGGATGATAGGATTGTAGAGTAATAAGAAAAATCCTTTGCCAGCTCCATCGCTTCTCGATCATTGTGTGGAGGCCGCGATTTGTTGTATAGCATAATCGTTCGGTCGCTATGTCAGGTTCGTCCCACCTCAAGGAAATGTCCGAAAGACATATTGTCGAAACACACAATCCCGCTAGATGAAGACACCGCAAGAAACGGTTCTATCTAGGGGAACGGTATAGTCGCCAGCCGAGACGCAGCAAGCGCTCTTCAAGACGGAAAATCCACAAGCGCGCGAATGCGATACGTCTGGTTGACTACCACACGAAGTCATCGTACGAACAACAAACTTCCTAGGTTTTCTATATACATAATGATAACATTTTACGCAGAAAAACAGGACAATCCAAGTCACTACATAGCCCCCTCTTAGAATGGTAACGTTAGTGACCAATCGAACTACGTGAAGACTGTCCGTCGCGGGCCAGCATTCTACGGGACCAGACTTAAACCTGATGTAGCTGCTGAGGGATAATCAAGCGATCGGACCCTAGCGGGCTCCCACCCATTTCCTACCTTAACGTGCCGATAAAAGAAAAGGGGGGGGTGAACGTTCGTTGCACTTGTGTTTGACTACAGGTGAATGTTCTCTGGTTGGCAACATGAAAAAGAAGGAAGAAACAGAGGTGGTCAGACATACAGAAGAGGCGACAACAACAGACGGGAAAAGCACCTACGGACTAGGCAGCGGAAAGTCGACGAAACAACTCTATTGGTTTTCAAAACATTTTCTCCGTTTTCTGGTATTCCAAACCTTTTGCGACGTTTTTAGGTTTTCAGAACATTGCGTTTTTTGCGGTTTTCGGAATTTACTGATGCGAAATAAAACCTGAAAACGCTGTTAGAAGCCAAACTGCTAAGCTGCCTTTTTAACAAAGGTGTCGGCAAGTTAACCTGACGACCAGACCTAGTAACCCTTTTAGCCGTGGCGGAGTCGGAGGGCTCAGGAGTCGGGTTTCCGGTTACAGTATTGCTGTCTGCAGACGTTTCCCCCACCATTGGTTGGGTCGATTCATCAGAGGACAAAGGACTGGAGTCGTCGTTCGACTCTGGTTCGACTTGAACAACTTTGAGGCGGTCCATTGAGACGGTTTCGCTTTTGCTGTTGCGTTCGGTAACGAAGAAGCGAACCTTACATTGTAGGACCTTGAATGTACCTTCGTAAAGTCATTCGAGTGGTCTGCGTAGACCATTAATGCGAATGAAGGCAAACGGGCAATGGTGTAGATCTTTGGGAACTCAAGACTTTCGATGCTGTTCCCGTACTGCGGTCGATTTATTGCGGCGCATGCTCGTGGCTAGCTGCCGAGCGTCGTGCGTGACGTAGTGAGGAGTGTTTGGGTTTTCAGAGAAGTCGTCTCGTAATTAGAATGATTGTCCATAGACTAGTTCGGCGCTGGACGCTTCGAGATCGGCTTTCAGCGCTGATTGAATTCCAAGTAGTACCATTGGCAGAACTTCTGTCCAACTAAGTGCACTGGCGGCACCTAGCGAGGGTTTAAGCTGTCGGTGGAAACGCTCCACCATTCCGTTTGTTTGAGGATGATATGTATTTGTCAGGATGCATTTACCTCCAAAGACTTTGAGTAGGTTGTTGAAAGTCGACGATTCGAATTGTGGACCACGGTCGGTAGTCACTGTGGCTGGACAGCCATGTGCAGCGAACCAGTGTTATGGTCTCAGCGGTTACCTCGGGAATTGGAACTGCTTCAGGCCAACGAGTGGCGCGATTCACCATGGTCGGAATGTAGACCATGCCTTTGGACGGCAGAAATGGTTCAGCGATGTCCAGGTGGACGTCAGCGAATCGAGTTCATGGTGACGGGAAGCGTCCTATCGGAGCGGCAACATGTCGATGAACTTTTGCTCGCTGTCAAGTCAGACAGTTGCGTGCCCAAAGTCTGACGTCGCGCTGCGTGTTGGGCCAGACGTATCTGTCGGCAATCTTCTTGACTGAAGCGGGGATGCTAGGATGCGCCATGTTGTGCAGCGTATCGAACACTTTTTGGCGAAAGACAGTACCAGTGGACGTGGATATCTGTTAGAGACGTCGCAGCTTATTGTACCTGTGGACGAAGGAAGCGGTCTAGGTACCAACTTTAACGTGGACTCTTTGCAGGATGACATCAAGTCTTTCGGCTTGCTAAGCTGCGGCCATATCTGATAGATCGAGCGACTCATCGGTCGGAGCCATAGAGTTTACTCTTGCAAACGTGTCCGCCACGACGTTACCCTTACCAGACACGTGTTGGACGTCCGTTGAAAACTGAGACACGAAATCTAGATGACGAACTTTACGCGGAGAGTGTCGGGTCGAAGGGTTCCGGAAAGCGCAGACGAGTGGTTTGTGATCTCTAAAGATCGTAACATGATTACCTTCGAGAACGTGACGAAACTGACGAACGGCGAAGTATACTGCTAGTAACTCGCGACCAAATGTGCTGTATTTCTACTCGACTATCTGAAGACGGGAGAAGAACGCTAGTTGCCTTGGAAAATCTGCTGTAGAACAGTACCCATTGCGTTTTCCGAGGCATCGACGGCCACACTGATTAGAGCGTTCAAATCGAAGTGATGAGGCATGACGGCGGAGGTGAGTGCTTCCTTACTGGCTTCGGATGCTGCTCGTGTTTTACCGTTTTTGACTCCAGACAAAAGATCGGTGAGCGGTTGCATATGCTCGGCGCAGCGTGGCAGGTATCCGCGATAGTAGTTGATCATGCCATTGAAGCGTCGAATGGCGGCTAGAGTCATTGGGTGAGGAAAGTCGCGGATCGCCTGGACTCCGTCCTGCAAAGGGCGGATACCCTCGGAATGAAGTTGGTATCCGAGGAAGTCAGTGCGCGGCTGCATGAAAATGCACTTGTCTGGGTTGACGATGACGTTGTGCGCCTTCAGCCGTTCGAACAAGTGTCGTAGATGAGTTCGGTGTTCTTCCGCAGTACTGGCCACCAGGATGTCGTCGATGTACGGGTGGACGAAGTCGAGTCCACATACGACGGAGTCGATGAAGCGTTGAAATGTCTGCGCGGCGTTGCGCAGACCGAATGGCATTCCTTGAAACTCAAATAGTCCAAATGGTGTAATCACGGCGGTTTTCGGTATGTCCTCGTCGGCGACCAGGATCTGATGATAGGCTCGCACCACATCGATTTTTGAGAACATGCGAGCGCCATGAAGACCGGCTGTAATATCCTGAACGGGAGGCATAGGATAACGATCCGGAGTTGTCACGTTGTTTAGGGCGCGGTAATCGCCACATGGTCGCTAGTCTCCTGACTTTTTCGGGCGAAGACCAAGGAATGTGGGGTGCTCGGACGATTCCAAGTTTGAGCATGTGCTCGAGCTTCTCAGGAATCAGTCTTCATGCTTCGGCGGAGACGGGCGGACCCTTGGTATTTATGTGATGCGGCGTAGCTGCGGCTGCAGTTGACAGCCAATGAAGGTCGGAAGACTTCAGGGATACTCTCAAGTAGCGCTTTGCCGGCCGGCGAGTTGGCAGTGGCGTACACCGGACTGAGCGATGCTACATCGCTGGATATTCCAGCGACGGAAACTTTCGTTGTCTGATCGATGAGATGACGTCATTTAGCATCGACGAGCAAGTCGAAGTGCTGAAGAAAAGCCATCCCGATAATGGGATGTTGGACGTCAGCGACAAGGAATACCCACCGAAAAGAGCGTCACAGGTTGAGGTTAAGCGTGTGCGAGCGCTGACCATAGACGCGGATGCTGGTGCTGCTGGCTGCACGTAAAGAACCAGTCACCTTTCCGGTTGCGTCCTTGGGATAACGTGGAAGGACACTGACTTCTGTGCCAGTGTCGACAAAATAGTGAACTCCCGTTGTCGATCGGTGACGAAGGATAGGCGACTATCTTGATCAGTTACGTCCGTCGCACCTAAATGCTGGTCGGCCCGTTTCCTCTGTGAGTTGCGTTTGAAAAAACACGGTGGGTCGCATGACTTGACCTGCAGGCCAAATCACTGATGCTACCAGCAGTAGGAAGACATTCGGCGCGGTGATTTTGATGGTAATTTTCATCGACATGAACGTTGACGTCTTGAAGATCGACATCGGTAGCTACTTCTAGAAGTTTTGAAATCGGTAAACTTTTTG